TCCTAATGGAATAATGGCTTAGTGAATCCCAACCCTAATCAGTTTTTTTCTGAAGGTATATTTACATTTAGAGCTATTTAAATTTCCAGTGAAATAAAGTGAAACATTCAGTTTCCCAGTTGGACTAGCCACATTTCGGGTCTTTAGAAGCCTCAGGTAGGCAGTGGCCACCACACGGGATTGTACAGATCACCCAGTGTCTCCATCGTTGTGGAGCTGGGCAGGACTGCTGCAGGATAGCCCACAGAACAAAAGGAAAACGATAAAATGTATGGGGATAGTAACATGATAAGTACCAAGGAGATTAGCTATCTTTGTATAGAATTTTTCCAGGACAGGGCATCTTTTCGTGTTGGTTTTGGGTTTGTATAGCTTCCAAAGGTGGCATTTTACGTCCTTTTCTCAGCATTAATATAATTATTTACAGCCACTTGGCATTTCTCACACCCCTTTTGTAAGTTTGTTGTTTTTCCTTTTATGTAAATAAAGGGGATAAAATGCAGAAGGTTGATGTCTAAGGAACAAAGGAAAGAAGAAAAATATCAATTCCTTTGTTTCCATTCTCCAAAAGAAACCTTGCAATTCTCTGGGCCTTATAAAAGCTTGTTGTCCTGGAATTAATAATGGTAACAATAATGATGATGATACACTTCAATCAATTATTATAATTTTAGTATTTTACTGCTTAGAGGCACCTCCAAGGATTTTGCGTATCTTCCGCTGACCTGCTTCTCCTCGCTCCCGAGTGGAGTAGGGGAGTAGGTCAGTGCCTGCGCTGAGAGCAAACCGTCAGCACTCTCATTCTTTCCCCAAACGCCATTGTGTTTCCCTCCTGGCTCTGAGACTGATACCACCAATGCCCGCTGGTCTGCTTCCATATGGCATCTGTCCGGGAGGAGCCTTAGCATTGGCTGTTTGCCAAGAGCAGAATTGGCGCTCGGGATTTTGTAGTTTGTTGGGCTGGTGCCAGCACAGTTGTGCTTGTGTCCAGGGCCTGCAAGTGGCCACCGAGTCCACGGGAAATATCATCCTAGAGGAGCCCTTGGAATATTAAGCAGTGACAGTTGGCCTTTGTATCCTACTGTGCCCGGGTTCTGCAGGCACCTCTTCTGAGGGGTGTGACATAGGAAAAGTCACGTTAGCTTCATGGCTCTCCATTACTTCATTTCCAAAATGGGGATAATGATTTCAGCTTCCTGGAGTTATCATGCTAGTGGATGTCAAACACCTTGCGAAAGGTTTTTAGAAAAGAGTAGGCCCTCAATAAACAGGGTTTGAATGTGAATTAATTCCTTGCAGGGGTTGCTTAGGACATCTGGGAAGTACGAGAAGCGAGTTAGTCTAATTTTCTAAGCCGGATACCAGATTCTAGTAACCAGACCTTACTGAGAGTCTTACTCATATGTAGGGTATCTGTTCCCATATTTACTCCTCTGAAGAGCACATTGGCTCTCTGTGGCCTCTGGCAAGTACCCCCAAAGGTTTATAACTGTTGGACACACAATTTCTGGTTTATTTGGAAGTGTCAGTGCTGACATCCCCATGAGGACAAAAGTCAGTAAGTCTCTGCAAGAAATGAGCCTCCGCCTGGCAGAACGTTGCAAGTCCAAAGCAGAAGGAACTTGCGCACATTGGAATGGAGTTAATCAGGCAGTTGCTGTACCCTTAGGGCCAGGGACACAGTGACCTGTGGGTCACGGGTGCAGTGGGACCACCTGCCCAGCACAGAAACTTTCCTTGCCCAAGAGGTGCTGCTGTCGTTGTTGCTTTGTGTGACCACTAGAAGTCCCTGGATTTACCTAAGGAAGGGATTGTTAGGCAAATTTGATGTCAATCTTTGGGATGATTGTTTGCAAAATGCAAGTAGTTAGGAGGGGATGTGGGTGAGAGGCACTCATTTAAGTGACTCTATGGGAACAGAAAGGAAAGGAATCTGTGGAGATGGAGACACTTCTGTAATTATTGAGAAATGTGGAGTGAACACTCTGAAGTTTAGCACTTCCCACAGATAGAAAGAGAACAGGTGTGTGTGTTTCTTGCATTGGTACCTGTTATTTGCCATTGGGATTCCAGGGACCCAGTAGGTCTTGCTCTTGGCCTTGTCTTCTCATAGATTTGCCATGAGCTTTACACTCTCAGTCCAAGGCAGACTGATGCAGAATTTGGCCGCATGATGGATTAGAAATATTTTGTGCTTTGGAGTTTATTGGACCTAGGTTTGAATTCTACTTCTATAATTTATAAGCTGGTAATTTTAGGAAAGGAACTTATTTCTCACCTGTTTGCATCTGGAAAATAATACTTTCTCTAGAATTGTCACAAGGATTAGAAATAATGTATGAAAAGCACCTAGCATAATATCTGGCTTATAAATGCTCATTAAAAGGTACATATTATTATTATTAGTTAGGATATGAGTTGTGTTTGCGTCTATACTATGAGAAAAGTTGGATTGAAAAGTACATGTGTGATGGCCACTCATTTCAAGTGCATCACAACTGCAAAGAGATTTAAAAAAAATTGTGAACACTTACTAGACGTTCATTCTGGGCCATGCCCTGTGCTAAAGCACGTGACTGTGGGAGATGGAGCCTCTATTCCCATTTGACAAATGGAGAGTCTGAGGCCCAAGTGGCACAGTTGGGTGGGGTGCCAGGACTCCGAGGCCATGCCCTGAGCTCCCACACCCCACTGCCTCAGGATGGTAGGAGATCTCCAGCTGTTTCTGAAGTGTGGCCGATGGGAGAGGGAGTATAAATTTGGGTTCACCGACAGACAAAAACCAAAGGTGTAAGGGGCGTCTTCTCAGTCTCCTCTCCTTTATGCACCACGGTGAGTGCATTTTTTGAGCAAGTAAAACTGGCCCCTCGTTTGAAGAGACATTAAGGAGTGCTTGCTCCAGAATTCTCGCTGTCGACATTAGCACTGTATACTCTCATCTAGCTCCTCCGCTGTGCTAACTGTTCTGCACAAACCAGATGGAACAACCCCAATTTCTGAACTTCCGTTCTCTCTTAGCTTAGATGAGTGGCGGTGCCTTCCTCTTTTCATTCTAGCTGATTGTCAACAGCACTAACCACAAGTCCTTCCTGTCCCAGAAATAAGTCTTGCCCCACTCTGAGCTCTCAACGAGCTGTGAACGCTACATTCTGCTCCCTGTAGAGCTCTGTCACCTCCACCCCACCAAAGTTAGCTCCGAGGGGTTAAGGTGTTTATTGAATTCTCGAAGGGCGATTTGAAAAGAAGTAAAGGTGCACAATAACCATTGATCTCTAATATAAACAAGCATTACATTACACCCAAATTGTTGCAAGAAGATTTTGTGCTCCGTATTTTATTTAGCAGAACATTTTATGTAACAATAAGGTTGATTAGAGAAAGCTCTGAAATTGCTTCAAGTTAGACAGTTTGTTTATCTCAAGGATAAAAAAATAAAATAAAATAAAATGGTAAAGGAGGGAGATCAAAAGGAAAAAGTAAAGCCAGGTCCTACTAAATAGTATTTGCCATTATTTTGAACAGCGAAAATGACACCTGCCACTCGCAGTGACATTTTAGTGTATGTGGGGCCCTTTTTGACTTCTCTGCCTTTGGGGCTGGGACCTGGATGCTGATCATGGACATGGCTCTGTAGATATTTTGTCTGCCAGGGTTGCACTTGTTTAAGTGCATTTGATTTTCATGGGCTGAGAAGCTAAACCAAGAGCACAGTACTACAAATGAATGCCGCTCAGGACATTCAGCCCTATCACTTGGCGGAGTCAGTGGATTTAGGGGGCATTCAGAGGGTGGAAGACAAAGAAGGCATGTGTTGTTTTTGCTTTATTATTTACCTGAAGGTCATAGTTGGGGGGGGGATCCAAGTAAAAAAATGAACACCATCATCATCATATTTCATGATGATGACTAGAATTTCAGGCTCTAAACAAGCCTTCTCTCTTCCAAATGGGGGCTTTGGAAAGCTTGAGGAAGATTGATATGTCAAGGATTATGTTCATGCTCTTTGTATCATCCCCAAATATTTACTGAAGCTAGGAGAAGAAAAGGCAGACTTTCCTCTTTTCTCTTCCAAACGTGTGATTGTTTAGAACTCAAGTGCAACATCTGGAAGTCAGACATACAGAGAGCTTTATGGAGTGTGAAAGATTTGAAATATTCAGTGTCCTTTAGCGGGAACTCAACTTTCTGGGCTTGCAATTTTTTTTTTCCAGCACAAAGCAGGCAATTCTGAGGTCGCTTTTGCCTCTCTGAATTAAACCCTTTGTGCATGGGTCCCATAAACAATGTGCTTTTTAAACGGGAGCCCCCTCCCCGCCCTGGCCCTTTTCTCCAGCGTAGGCAGCCAATCGGCTGCACCCAGCCGCATTGCTGGAGCACTTTCCATTCTGAGCAGCAACAACGTACTAATTTGATGCACACATGGACGCCTCGCACACTCTGCAAATTCATCATCAGCATCTTGCATTAGTCATCTGACGGACTGCCAAGTGTTTCATTTTCTTTTCATGTGACTTTATCATTATCACCTCTCTTCTCCTCCCAAAAACCTCCTAAAAGGGGAGGAGAAGGGGGAAAATCCAGCAGAAATCCAGCCCTGCCTTTCTTTCCACACGAGAGCCAGTGTGAGGCTGATAAGGCTGCGGATGCATTGATGGCAGCCTTGCAGAAGGAGACCTGCACTTAACTTGCAGCTGCCTCCTGAGCCGGGTTTCAAGATGTCCACGCCCCGGGTGACAGCCGGCAGGGCGCTGCCTGGGGCTCGGGCGAGGTGCTGAACGGCAGCAGCTTGCAGGGAGAGCCCGCTGCCGCTGCCACGGAGGAGCACCCTAATGGTGCCTGTGCTTTGTTTTAGTTCATCAAATTTCTACGACTCATTAGGCACTTTGCCCCGAGCTCCTCTTCTTCCTCCTTCCGCCTCAGCCTGCCCCCACCCCCCTGTTTTTTCTTCCTGCCCCTGACCGTGCAGCCCTAACTCTGGCTCCCGGTTCCCTTTTTGACAGTAACGGCACAGCCAACAAGATGAACGGCGCTTTGGATCACTCAGACCAACCAGACCCAGATGCCATTAAGATGTTCGTCGGGCAGATCCCCCGGTCTTGGTCGGAAAAGGAGCTGAAAGAACTTTTTGAGCCTTACGGAGCCGTCTACCAGATCAACGTCCTCCGGGACCGGAGTCAGAACCCTCCCCAGAGTAAAGGTACGGTCTGGCGGGTGTGCAGCCGGGTGTGCGCGGGCGGGGGTGGCTGGGGTTGTGGGCCTCCCCGGGCGTCGTGGGCATCGCGGGAGGGAGAACCAGGAGTGGGAGCCGCCTGCTGCCCCCGTGCCCCGTGGCCAGCCGGCTCCTCCCCGAGCCCCCGCCCCTCTCCAGCCTTGCGGGCAGGTGGATCCAGCTGGCCTGGGACGCGGGGAAGGAGGAGCGGAGGGCGGGGGCGCGGCCGGCCTCTGTCCAGGCGCGTGATTGCTCTCGGAGGTCACTTTCCAGGCAGCGCAGGCTCCTCTTCTGCTGTGGAGTGACTGCTTCTCAAAGGAATAGTGTTTCTCAGCCTTGCATTTCAGGAGTAACTCTTTCTACCCCTACCTCCCCATTATTGCTCATGTAATTACAATTGCATTTCACTTTTCCATAGCCTGTGGGGATCCTGAAATGCCTTATAAACAGTTAGTGTGTTACCACTGGTCTGAGGAAGAAAGAATACACTTTTAGGAGGGACATCAATTCTTGGGATCCAGATGGGCATCCTTAGATGCGTTTGGCGGCAGGAAGTAACACCCTAGTGGCCTGAAATAGTTAGCACACCTTCAAAATGCTTGTGGTTTACGCCCTAAGCAGTGGTAAGATTCACGTGTACCAATCTGGTGGTTTTTAACTGCCTCCATTTTAAGATGAGGGTGATGGTGAGGGGTGGGGGTACAGTTATTAAAATAGAGGAAAGTCAGAAACCTCTGTACCACACTGAAGTTTCTTTGTATTGGACTCATGCTTTGCAAGCTCTGTGTATACTGAATTGAAAATATTTCCTCTGCTGCTGCTGCTTGGTTGGCCTCTGTTGATATTTTAACCTTGCTTTGGTAATTTTGTTCTTTCTCCGTTCTTGGTCTCCTGGTCTTTCTGTGAGTCCACACTTCCTTTTTCTCTATATCTTCATATGTCTCTTTGGCCTGTTATCTTATTCCTGCGCAGCCTCCTACAAGCTCATTGTTGAGCACATGAACGCCGGCACACACTTTTCTCTGAGCCTCTTACTGTCAAGGTGAAGGGATAGGACTCAGGAATCATTGAGACACTGGCGTTCTGTGACTTCGAGAAGTGGGCCATCTCTTGTTCCCTATACTATTTGCAGGAATCTGACAGGACTTCTTAGAACCTTTGAAGAAATATAAAAGCGTAATACTTACTTATGAAGGTAAACAGACACACCTTCAGATTATGTTCATCAGGCCCTCATTTTCTATCTCAGAGCATAATCATATAACACCAAGAGTGTTTTCAAAAGGACATCTATAAGATTTTGTCACCACAAACTTAGTTGCTCCTAACTTGAAAAATGGGAAATTAGATAGCTATAACAAGAGGATCAAAAATTAGGGCAATGTTAGAAGAACCGTTGTGAGTTGTATTCCTACCCTGTTTTCCTACATGTTTCCCAAATGGAGAGAGGACTAGAATTTGTTTTTTTAATACTAGAGTTCTCCAGTATCCTACTGAGGGAAGACTGACCAGGACTGAACTTGGCAAGGGAGGGCCCTCCCGCCATGTAGACCGACACCCACAGGACCCTGGGCCAGAGGCAGTAACGGGCGCCCCAGAGCAGCCAGCCGCCACAGTTGGTTCTTGACCAGGGGAGTGTGCCTCCATTTTATTCAGCGCTTTTCGAGATGACCTCTGATGCAACGGTCAAAACTCACTTATGGTTACAATGCCTGGTTACTTGTATCCTGTCTCTGGATCCCACATGTCTGCTGTTAGCCAAAAAGACCTTTCTCTGCATCACCCGAGAACTTGTGCACGGCCTAGTTCTCTTACCGTTTTCTCTCTCTCTCTCTTTTATGGTATTCCTCTGAGCAGGCTCCTCATCGGAGTCTGTCTGAAACTACACGTTTTGTGAACCTCACTGGGCTTTATAACTAACTTCACTGAAACAGTTTGCATAAACCCACGGTCTCGGAGGGATGGGGAGCCCGGTGTGGGCTTTCTGAGCCCGTGCTCTGTACCACGTCCTGTGTTAGGAGTTTTCCGTATGTTCTCTTGTTTAGTTCTTACTGAAATCCTGAAAGTAGGTGGTATTAGTCACATTTTGCAGATGAGGCTCAGAACAAGTTAAGAGATGCAGCCCAGTTTACCCAGCTGGGAAGAGGCAGAGTCGAAAGGAAATTTGAGCGCAGTCCATCTGTCTTCCTGTGCTACACCATCTTTCCTCTCATGAGATGAGGCCACAGACCAGCCTTCTTCTTTATCTCAGTGTTCCCAAATGAAAAGAAGGAATTTTGCCCTTTTAGAAGAGCAGGGTCGGTTTGTTTCTCTCTTGGTGTTTAGTTTTTATACTCATGGGTTTAGACTGTACATCACTCCAACTCATGGCATCATGGGATAGAAGTTACAGGTGAAATCATTCAAATCTCACCTTTGGAAATGTAGGTCAGTTCCCATTACTGTGAACTCCACGTCTCACATCAAGTACTGCTGGAAGTGCATGGGCTGTCAGCCAGAGCTTGCAAGGGTTTTTGTCATACAGGCATCCCTGTTGTAATGGTATTTGTTGTTACGGGATTTGAGCTGTATAATGACATTCCTCTCGAAGGATTAGAGCCCTTAGCTGCTTATGTTCAGAGAGCAATAACCACTGTTCTTCGTTGCACCGATACCTATGTGTGTCCTTTGTCATTTGCCCATTCATGTGTAATGTGGGACCCCATGTTTGCGTTGGTGCTGACTCTGCCAGCAGAGTACCATCACCGTGTTTTCCCACTGCTGACGCCAGAGCCTCAGAAATTAGAATTGTGAAGCACTCTCTGAGTGTGGTGTAAATGATGTAAGTCAGGCTTTTGGAGTGGCCTTGATTTGTTGCCTTGCTGATGTCAATGATTCCAGGGATGGAGACCCGGTCAAGGTGCTACCAAATCCAAGTAGTAAGATTTTTCTCTCACTTTGTACCTTGATGATCTGTTTAGTCTTGAGGCGTAAAAACTTTGTTCCATTTTTTAAATCATCCTTTAAGAGTAAGAGCCTACATTATCTGTTTCTTCTCCCTGTAAAAGTATGTGTTCACCATGCAGGCTCAGCAAGTCTGGGGAACCTGGCTAAGTCAACTACTAGAACTTATGGAGAGCACATTTTATTCCATGGTCAGCGCAGTATATGGAATACCACACAGTACTTAAGAGCATGGCTTTTGAAGTCAGACAAGCCTACTTCATTTTCCAGCCCTACTGTTCCTGGGTGATGGCCTCAGGCACAGTATTTAATCCCATCTGAAAGTGGAGAGAGTCTTCACAGGGTTGCCGAAATGGAGCAGTCTGCTTTCACAGAGCTGGAATATAGTAGGAGATCGTGGTAGTGGTGGTTATTGTTACAATTATTATCATTGCCACTGTTCTCAAGAAGTTGAAGTCTAGTAGGGACAATGAGACCAGTACACAGGTAACTATAATCTGAAAAAACATGAAATAAGAAGAAGAGAGAGATGACCATATATGAACTACGGAAGTTCAGGGGAACAATGAATAACTTGTAGCTAGCAAAATAGGAAAAGATGGCATCTCTACTAAGTCTTTAAAAAATAGGATTTCAATATGTCAAACCAGTGTTAAACATTACATGTGGATGGACTGGCCCGAGTGACAGACACATCGAGGTGAGAAAGTGCAGATGACTTCTGGGAGCTCCGAATGCTCCCAGAGTGCAGAGGTAATGGGAAGTACATGAGATGAAATGGAAGAAGGGAAGGTCATGATGTCTGGAAAGATAGGCTCATTCCAGTTCTTAGAGGGCCTTAATTCTCAGACTACAATATTTTAATGTTATTTGCTAGATGAGTGAGGGTCTGCGAAGGGGAAAGGAGGCTGGGAAGCTGGTGCAGTGTGCTGTCTGAAGTACCCAGTTACGCAGGGACGCGGCATGTCACCGCAGTGGAGAGGGAGGAACTGAGTGATAGAGACATGACCGTGGTGGCAGGAAGGAGACTTGATAGCTAAATTAAGGCAGTGCTGACCAAGAGGCTTTGTTGTAACTGGGGAACATGGGAAAGCAGTCAGTGATGGTGGGAACGGGGAAGAGTGAATATGCAGTTTTGTTTTTCTTTCATTCAGTTTTGATTGTGTGGAGTCTCGGTGCCACAAAAGAGTCAAGAAGAACGCAGGCCAAGAGGAGCCATTGGACTTGGTGTTTGGGAGGGCCTGGGAGTGTTTCAGAACAGTGGAGGTCAGGGTTGGGAGAGGCTTACTAGGTTTAAACACAGGCCTGTGGGTGGAGAGTACCCTTTCCAGTAGTCTGATCGTGAAGGAAAGAGAGCTTAGGTATAGCTTGTTTCTTACAAGAAATGTAAGAAGGTAGAGTAAAAGGCAATAGTGAAAGTGGAAGGATGATAGGAATCAAGGTCCTTAAAAAGGCAGGGCGGTTGGTGGCTGAAGAGCACCCGTGAAAGGGCGGAAACATCCCATTTGAGACAGCAGGCAGTTAGGGGAAGTGACACAGAGCAAGTTTCAATCCAATGGGGGGAAATAAATACTCAGGACAGATGCCTTCAGTCTTTTCAGTAGGTAGTACATTTCTGAGGAGGTCGGGTGGCGCCAAAGAGTTAAGAGAAATGGAAACGGTTTAAAACAGCAGCTTTGGAAAATCCTATAGGGGAAAGAATTGCAAGAGCAGATGGGCCCGCTTACACTGAGGTTGTGTCGATGTAGAGTAGGTCCCAGTAGTTGTGGCTCTGTGATTGTCCATCAGTGGGCGAGCAGAGAAGCAGACATCGGCAACCTGAGTAGGAGATGAAAAGTCCGATGTGGCTGAAGGTCAGGAAGGATATTGAATGCATTAGAGTGTTCTCTGAGGTCTACAGTAGGGAAACTGGTAAAGACAGAAGGTAGCTCATGCTCTGGAGAAGAAAGAAGGGTTGAGGAGTTGGAGATTGTGAATGAGGGGCAGTGGAAGAGGTGGCAGTCGAGGTGGTGTTCAGTGAGACCAAGCTGGGAACCTCCAAACGG